GTGAGATTACCATTTTGTTTAGTTACTAATGAAATAATCTTATGCAATTTCATTAAAGACATTGAAAAATCATCCTTTTTACTATTTTGTGATGTTGTGTGGCCTATATCATAATCCATTGTATAATAAGGTCTAATAGTTCTAAAAATGATTAAAATCATTATTAACATTACTCAGAAGCTTACCGAGTGGTCTACTCTTGTGTGTGAAGTACTTCAGTTGGAAAATGTACCAGTTTAATTAACAGTCACACATATGTATGTGTGTGTTAAGGTCCAGATGCACAGCTGTCATGAGTTGAAACCGTTTGAGTTGTTTTGGGAGACTCTAAAAGCCATAATTACCGGTCCTTAAGAGCAGAACGGCTGCAAATTACAGCTGCGCTCTGAGCAAACTAAAATAGCCTGATTCAATTATTTACAAATGAAGAATGCCAATGGTGTGTTATCGCACACACACAACCAGCTTGGTTTCATATGCACGCAAGTACACAAACACACACACACATACACACAGACAGGGCTGGTGAATAGGAGATGCGTGACAGGACTGACTGAAGCCTTACCAGCAGTCTCCCCTCCTTCAGCCTCATCATGTGTGTTCAATTACCATAGCAAGACTGCACCAGACCAATGTCAACAGATGCACAAATACAGCTATCAGAGTATAATCTGACATTTAAAAACATGAGAAGCATTTTCAAGGTTACACGTAGAAAAATGTTCAAATTCATTAACAGTTTCTCCTCCCTATAGGGTGTGAAATCGTCATACTCCGATGCTATATCCGGATATGTGTGGGATATTTGCTCTGTGGCCCATAATCCGCATAAAATGCAGCAGGGAATTTCTCTCCCTGATCACTCACTCACAGAATCCCCTCTGTTTTGTAATTCAGTCCCACTGTCCTGTCTGAGAGGCTCACTCCTCTTCTGAGGTAGATGTGTTAATATTGTGTGACAGTAAACCTGCTGTCCATCTGCTTCTTCTCTTCTTCTCTTCTTCTCTTCTGTTTTCTTCCTCTCTTCCTCTCTTCCTCTCTTACTGCAAGCCTGCATACCAGATCCAAAATTCAATTATCTCCAACAAGTTTCCTACTGTTTACATTCAATCAGCTCCCAATTGTCTGCAAGAAAGCAGAAAAGGATAGTGAATGATAAGTAGTCAAGCACAGAATTAGACTTATAGACCTTGACTAAACCCACTAATCTCAGAATACATTCTCACCCACTTAAGCATGACCTTTGCCCTTCCACTGGCCTCAACTGTGACCGGTCAACACTTCCGACTCAGCTTCACTACTCAAACTAATCCCTGCTCCAATAGATTTGACTTTAAGTTTTTGCAAAGTATTTTAAAAGCAATTTAATACTGTAAATAATCATCTCACACTTTCCAAACCATTAATTAGAGCTTATAATAAGTCTCTATGGGGGCCCTCATTAGGTCTGATTGTTGTCTTTCAGCCACAGTGAGAGAAAATAATAATTATTTGCCAGTGTTTGCTCAGTCTGACACGTGGCATGGCAAAGTGCTGCCAGGTTTGGGTTAATCCACAGCTCCAACGGCCCAAGGGGCACCTCGCCATAATGGAGAATGGCATGCTGGGTACCTCCATGATGCCCTGCCAGAGGGCTCCGTCTGGTTCATGATATCAGCCTGCTCAACCCCTCCTTGCTGTGACTCATTAACAAGCTCAGGTCCCAGGAGGGGTCCCATCTGTGTGCCACCTGTACAAAATCACCACCGATAGCAACATTTAATGCAGGACACCACTCACTTTTGTTTCAGTGTTTCCCTCATGCATCAC